TCCAGGGGCCAGGGGCGGCTGCAGAGGTCCAGGGGCGGCTGCACCAGGGGCGGCTGCTCCAGGGGCCAGGGGCGGCTGCTCTGGGTCCAGGGGCGGCTGCTCTGGGTCCAGGGGCAGCGTCGCTGGTGCAGGGCAGGCCCGCGCACGGCTGCAAAGCAGGCGCGGGCGCAGGTGAGGCAGAGGCGGCGGCCAAGGGGGGGGGGGGACGCCGCGACGAGCAGGGACGGCACCCAGGGGGCGCCGCGACGAGCAGGGGCGGGAACGCCGCGCGGGTCCCGCAGGGGCGTCGCGACGAGCAGGAGCGGCGACGCACGGGTCCCGCAGGGGGTTCGCGACGAGCAGGAGCGGCGCCTCGCAGGGCGCCGCGACGGGCAGGGTACGGGCGGGCAGAACAGGCCCGCACGCGGACGTGGGGCAGGCGCGCAGGCGGCGTGAGGGCAGGCCGCGCGCGGGGCAGGAAGACGCCTCGCGCCCGGGGCGCACGGCGGGCAGAAAACCGCCGTACGCCCCGAGCACACGGCGGGCAGAAAATCGCCGCGCGCCCGGGGCGCACGGCGAGGAAAATGTGCCGCGCGCCCGAGGCGCGCGACAGGACGACAGGCAGCGGAAGCAGACTGCTGGGCCCGTTAAGGAAGGCAGCAGGAAGGTGCCTGCTCTGACAAACTACACATTCTGACACCGTTTGCTGCAGGATATGCTCTGTGAGTAATTCTTTGTTTCCCACCCTCACACTTGCGCAGCTGTTCCACTTCCCTTTCTGCACCTTGAATCAATATACATTGCTTTCTTAGTTATTTTATCTTCTTTGTCCTCCCCTTGTTACCATTTACCAGGGACATGATACCGATGCCTTACCGCTCCGCATGGTGCACTGAGTAGGGAGTCAAGGATAGCACCACATGCCTGCCATGCGCATTGTGTCATCTGCACATGCTTTAACTGGGATGGCTTCTCCCCTCCTCTCGATGCAAACTCTTTTGAGGCGACTTTTGAGGTGCCTCAAAAGACATGCTTTAACTTGGATGGCTACTCCCCTCCACTCGTTGCCAACCTTTTTCCCCTTCACTCAATGAAGACCCTTCTTCCCTCCTCTCGATGTGGACGCGTTGCGAGTGTTCCAATTTAGACCCAGTGTAGAATATTATTTCTTGCCAACCTTCCCTTGCTCCTCCTGCCCGAGGTGCCTTGTTTTGAAACGTTTGTTGAGCTGTGTGTGTTGCGTGTTGTTTGCTATAGTTCAGCACTTCAATCAGTACGTTTCCAAAATACTAGGATGCTGTTCCAACCTGATCGCATGCATGGGCAGCTTTATGGGTGAAGCGAATGATCCTGCAACAAAACATATCCACGTTTACTCAAAAGTACGTTACCACCAACCGAGATAAGCCATTTGCCAAGATTCACTGCAAGCATGCAATGCAAGCATGCGCACTGCATACGTAGCACAGCACTTCTACCAGATTCAAACAGACGGACCCCTCTTTCTTGAACAGAAGCTGAAAGTTTTGCCGAGGGAAGATGCAGCCACAGCCCGAAGCTTTTCAAGAAAAGTTCCAATTCTGTGACGCCCTAAGATATGGGCTTCAATCAAAATCTCTCCGACCTCTCTCTCTTGAAAGAGAGGCGCAGAATCTTCCCCAAGGATGATGCTGCTGCAGCCCGAAGCTTCTCATTTGGAGATTTCTTCAAAAGCTGAGAGAGTGCTTTGGTGAGAGGCACCGGGATTGCAAAGGCAACACCGGGTTGAGGCGGCGACGAGCTGCTATATGCGCTGCTGGTTCCGCTTACTAAAGGACCGGATGAAGAAGGTGTGGTGCTGCCGCCTGCCTGTGCTGCCGAGCGGTTTTCAGCTACGAATTGGATAAGGCCGGTGAAAAATGAGATTGCAGTGAGCTTGATGGAATCCGAGGGGTAGGAAAGCGCCTGGAAAGGGGAGAGGAGGAGTGAGGGAGAGGAGGAGCGAGGGAGAGGAGTGGGGGAGGGGAGGAGGAGTGGGAGAGGGGAGAAGGCGGTGAGGGGTGAGGGGGAGGTGGGGGGAAAGGGGGGAAGAGGATACCTTGAGACAGGTCTGTTGGTGAACTCAGAGGTTCATATGAGAAAACATGGGGCGGATGAGTATGGAGGCTACATATATCAAGAGTGTGTATGTGTGTGTGTGTGTGTGTGTGTGTGTGTGTGTATGTGTGTGTGTGTGTGTGTGGGTGTGTGTGTGTGTGTGTATGTGTGTGTGTGTGTATGTGTGTGTGTGTGTGTATGTGTGTGTGTGTGTGTGTGTGTGTGCAATGCACTGTGATGGGTACTCACTTCCAGTGTGAACCCAGTGTAAGCGTCAAAACTCGTTACAAAGTCATGTGAGAGGAACTGGAAAAAGCTGCCGGTGAAGAGACCCGATTCCCTGAAACATATTAAAGAGGAAAATTATACAAGCAGAAAGATTGTATAATCTCAAAGAGGGCATTTCTAACACACGCATGACCATTGAATACTTGAGAGGAGGGAATCCAAGGGGAGGGGGTAGACGAAGGGAAGGAGGCATGAGGTGATCAAACGAAGGACAAACGAAAGAGGATGGCTTGCTTATCAAACACCACTTAGACTCAAAATCCACAAAAATGAGGCTTTGAGACATCTCAAAACATCACTTTTATCACGTCGAACAAAGGACACACGAAAGAGGACACCTTGCTTATCAAACACCACTTGACTCAAATTCCACTGAATTGAGTGGACTTAAGAGACGACTCAGAAGTCAAATGTCTCGAACTCCATTGAATCGAATTTCATGAAGGGGTGAGAATCCTCCACACTCACATCAACGGTTGGTGGGTGCACTCGGTGCGTTGATCGGACGAAAGTAGCTGAGCCAGGCAGAACGAGGCTGCCTGCAGCATGGGGGGAATTGGGTGAAAATAAGATAAGTGAGCGGGCGACAGATGATTCCAAGTCAGGCAGAACGAGGCTGCCTGCAGCATGAGGGAGAGTGGGAAAGAGAGACATGGTGTTGAGCTGTCTCAAAGTTCGCGTAGGGAAGCAGGTGCATGTTTTAAGACGTGTAAAAAAAACTGCAGCATGAGGGAGAGTGGGAGAGAGACATGGTCTTGAGCTGTCTCAAAGTTCGAGTAGGGAAGCAGGTGCATGTTTTAAGACGTGTAAAAATAACTGCAGCATGAGGGAGAGTGGGAGAGAGACATGGTCTTGAGCTGTCTCAAAGTTAGCGCAGGGAAGCAGGTGCATGTTTTAAGACGTGTAAAAAAAACTGCAGCATGAGGGAGAGTGGGAGAGAGACATGGTCTTGAGATGTCTTGTGTAGAGGGCGGGGTGAGGTGTTACCTATATGCATTTGTGTAAAATCTCACTGGAAAATAGCATTCTTTAATTCAGATGATACCTTGCATGCACTTGTGACTTGGTCTGGTTGACGCTCGGATAAGAACCACAAGGTTGCCATTGTTTCTCGGACCTGAAGAACAGGCTCGGCACACAGTCATGTCACCGCACCAGACCACATAGCCAGGTATGTCGTGTGTAAGAAGCAAAGCACGCAGGCTGAAGAAGAAATTGACAAGCAGCAGAAGGAAACAAGCATGTTATGTGCGGCGCATAAATAAACCAGCTTTGGAATCAAAGTAGAGACGAATGATGCGATAATCTTATCAAGGCACTTGTATTTCCCGAAAGAGCAGAAACAGGGCAAGATCATAAAAAACCCGAGGAAAAAACAAGTGATACCGGCTGAGCAGCAATGAGTCATCCTACCCACCTCGGGTTGAAGACTCTGCATCTCCATGCTCGAGCCTTCTGCAGTGCTTGCAGTGGGCTGCTCAGCGCCCTCATCCCCACTGTTGGGTGGCTGCTGCTGCTGATGCAGGAGATTGCTCGCCAATGCGCCTGCCATCCATGCTGCTGCAGCTTGGGCTTGGGGCGCACGGTCCCTCTGCAAGCAGCGAGAAAAAAACATGTGCAATTTGCTTTTATAGTATTACTATGACTATTTCTTCTCCCTTCGAAGTGACATGCAAAGTGCTTATAAGTTACTTGCAGAATGGCAGAGATCTCAGAGGCTCATTCCCTACCATACACAAAATGGTTCATTCCCTACCAAACACACAATGGCTCATTCCCTACCAAACACACAATGGCTCATTCATGGCTCATTCCCTTCCAAACACACACGTGGCGTTTCCTCATTGGTGTAATCCTTACCATAATAGCTCGCGCTGATTGGAGGATGATGACAGCTGGCAGCGCCTGATTGGCCAAGAAACTGCACAGGGAGAGACACTGAGAGACAGACGGGGAAGGGTGGGGTGGGGGGAACGGAGAGAACGGGGGGGCAATCTGCCATGTGCCATGCGCCATGTGCCATGCGCCATGTGCCATGCGCCATGTGCCATGTGCCATGTTCCATGTGCCATGTGCCATGTGCCATGCGCCATGTGCCATGCGCCATGTGCCATGCGCCATGTGCCATGCGCCATGTGCCATTTGCAATGTGATGCACCATGTGCCATGTGCCATGTGCCATGCGCCATGTGCCATGCGCCATGTGCCATGCGCCATGTGCCATGCGCCATGTGCCATTTGCAATGTGATGCACCATGTGCCATGCGGCATGTGCCATGTGCCATGCGCCATGTTCCATGCACCATGTGTCTCAATGGGACCGAGAGCTTGAATCATGGCCTAAATAGGCACGTTGTCGTGGCCTCGCTGACAGCACATGCCTTTGCCTTAGCGTTGCAAAAGAACTTGTTGCCATGGGGTGTTCCCCTTTACCAGGCTATGACAATCACCGGCTACATGTGCCATACACCACATGCCGCATGCCATACCTGTTGGGCGCAGATGGTAGCAGCAAGCGAGATGATGGTGCTTGGGTCTTGTAGGGAGAGAGCGTGGCACTAAGTGTGCAGATGGCATACATGAGTGTTGCGCCATGCCATGAGCCATGTGTGTTTTGGTCACGACTGTCTACATGGGCCATACACCACATGCCATACCTGGTGCGCGCAGATGGTAGCAGCAAGCGAGACCATGGAGCTTGGATCTTGCAGGGAGAGAGATGCAGCGGAGAGAATGCCATGAGCCACGGAGGACGGTGGGGATGAGGACTGTGGGAGAAGCAGGGAGGAGGGGAAGGGAAGGCAAGGGGCAGAGAGGACGGGAGGGTTTATTATAAGTCTTTAAGGAGAGAGTGGCAGTGGAAAATTTTTTAGTCGACTCAAAAATCGATTTTGAGTCGACTCAAAAACGGGAAGGCAAGGAAAGGGGCAGAGAGGACGGGGGGGGGTTATAAGTCTTAAAGGAGAGAGTGGCAGTGGAAAATTTTTGGGGTTGGGAAAAGCATTTGGGTTTGGGGAAAGCATGCACATATCCATTAAGAAAGAAAGAAAGAAAGAAAAGCACGTGAGGTGTACAAGGGGCATGCAGGGCATGTGGGGCGTGAGGGGCCAGATAAAGCAAAGGTGGGGCGACTTACCTTAGAGAGAATAAGCAGGATGACAGCACGAGCAGCAGAAGAAGCTTCCTGGAAACGCTCCAGTTGCCATGCCATTGTTGTCTCCAGATCAGGGGCGTTTGTTCTGAAACGGGGAGGGGGGAGGGGGGAGGGGAGGGGAGGGGGAGGGGGAGGGGGGGCGGGAGAGGGAGTAGGACGGGGGATTGGGGGAAACGGGGTTTGGGAAAAATGAAGGGACAGTGAGAAGTGCTTCTTTGCTTGAAGTTTAAACACTGGGCTCAATGGTGCTATATGGATGCAGGTAATGAGCTGACTTTTGAGTCGACTCAAAAGCAGGTGATCCATGCATGTGTCCATATCGTGCCCACTTACCTCCACCCCACGCTCATGGCATGGCATATGAGAGCAGCATCTGTGATATACTTGTATACACTGGCACACTCCGCAGCCTGAGCGAGAAAAGCCTCAATGGATACCACCTGCAGTAGCACAACGGAAGGGGGGATGGATGGAAGCTACAGTTTGACTTCGCCTGCACTTCACCTTCCGCCCCTCTCCCCTCTTATCTGAAAGCTGCGGCCCATGCAATGCTTATCTATCCCTCGCTTTTTGAGGCGCCTTTTGAGGATTTTTTAGGCGCCTCAAAAGTCTTCTCTGAAAGCTGCGGATCTATCCCTCGCTCCCGATCCCCTCCCTCGGCCCTCACAGCGCCGACAGCTGTCCCACTACTGTCTATGCCACTTCTCCATCTCCCACCACTTCTCCATCTCCCACCACTTCTCCATCTCCCACCACTTGTCCATCTCCCACCACTTGTCCATCTCCGCCCCACTCACCTCATCACCCTTCTCCCTGACAGTCAGCATGGCTCCCATGAGCGCATGCACTAGCTGCCCTACCGTCCAATCCCAGCTGGTTTTCTCCAATCCCTTGCCCTATCGCATGCATGTACTCTCTCTCTCCTTCCCCCACTACTCACCTTATCACCCTGCTGCTCCCCCGCAGTCAGCATGGCTCCCACGAGGGCCGCCACCAGTCCACACAGCACCGACAGCTGCCCTGCAGTCACGTCAATCCTGCTGCTCGCTTTCCCGCTGGTGCCCCCATCTGCTGTTCCCTTCTGGCTCAGGCTGTCAGTTGAGTAGGTTTCGAGTGCCTGGAGAGGGGGAGGATCGAAGGGAGTAAGGGGGAGGGGGTGTAAGGAAGCCAGATGGGAGGTGATATGGCAAGGGATTTGAAGTACGAAACTTTATGTAATAGAAAACCAGCAATTTGGAATAGCAAAGGCGAGTACATGAGGGTTTCGTATGCTAAGAAGCATGTCTGTCACATACCTCGATGAGAGGTTGTAGTCCTTGTGAGTGATTTTTACTCTAAGAAGCACGTATGCACGAATGCACGTATGCTAAGAAGCATGTCTGTCACATACCTCGATGAGAGGTTGATGGTTGAAGAAATGAGCCACTGAGCGGAGAGCGCCATAAACCAGCCTGTGCGTGCGGATAGGGTGGTGCAGAGTGGTGCAGATAGGTCAGTGCAAGATAGGCATGGTGGTGCACGGGAGAGGCGGTAGTGAGAACAAGGCAAAGGGCCACTCCTTAAGACCAAATGCATTCACACAGGAATCAACTCACCCACAGGAAGGGGTAGTCGTTGGTGTAAACACGTGCGCACATGTGTTTACACCAATGAGGGCATTCGTGTAAAAAGAAGAGTTTTGAGATGTCTCAAAACACTTCTTTTTACACGTGCGCACATGTGTTTACACCAACGAGGGCATTCGTGTAAAAAGAAGTGTTTTGAGACGTCTCAAAACACTTCTTTTTACACGTGCGCACATGTGTTTACACCAACGAGGGCATTTGTCTCACAGAAAAGGGTCGCTGGACCACAGCCCTCCATGTGCTGCCGGGATGGCATCGTTGATTCTCTTGCTGAGGGGGGCGGTGGGGGAGAGAGCAGTCCCACTGGTTGTGGGTGCGCATGTCAAATTAGCAAACTCACAGGAAGGGGTCCCTGGACCGCAGCCCTCCTCGTCTGAGGCGACCAGTGGGTGTGCGATGCGAACAAGACTACACTGGGAGCAGGGCAGAGAGACACAGCTTCATGCTAGAACCAGCTCACTCACAGGAAAGGGTCGCTGGATCAGAGGCCTTCATCTGCTGCCGTGATGGCGTCGTTGATCCTCTTGCTGAGCGGGCCCTCGGAAGCAAGGGCAGCCCCGGGGTGACAGGCGATGGTATCAATGGCGAGAGCATGACTAGGGTATTGGTTCCCAGTATCAATGCATCAACACACTCACAGGAAAGGGTCGCTGGACCACAACCCTCCTTCAGGTGCTGTGATGGCATCGTTAATCCGCTTGCTCAGGGGTCCAGTGGGGGAGAGAGCAGCCTCGGGGCGAGAGGCGATGGTGTCGATGGCAAGAGCACAGAGCAGCAGGTGAAGGGTGTGGACGGTGGGGATGGTGTAGGGCAGTGCTGCTTGCTGGAGGTTGGTCGATGGGCACCTGCAGGGGAGAGACGGAGGGGGCATGGCGGGGGGACAGCGAAGGAGATGGCCCAGATAGTATTGGTGTCGATGGCGAGAGCACAGAGCAGCAGGTGAAGGGTGTGGACGGTGGGGATGGTGTAGGGCAGTGCTGCTCGCTTGAGGCTGGGTGATGGTTGCCTGACGGGAAGAGAGAAAGGGGGAAGAAGGGGAAGGAGAGGGCACTGGTGGTGTCGATGGGGAGAGCTCAGTGCAGCAGATGCAGCGTGTGGATGGTGGGAATGCTGTAGGGCAGTGCTGCTTGTTTCAGGTCGAGGGGGAAGATTAGGAAGGAGAGTGCCACAACCAGCATTTCCCACCCTCCCCACCCTCCCCACTAAATGCACCTTACAAGAACCCTCACCTGAGCATCAGCGCAAGAGTTCGAATGGCCGCCTTAGAGCCAGAGGAGTAGATGAAGGGCTTCCCTGCACTCCCCACACTGCTTGCACTCCTTGCCCTTCCTGCATTCGAGGCAGCAGCAACCACAGCAGCTGCAACTGTATCGGCTGGATCAAAAGTGAGCGAAGCGGTGGCAGCACTGACACCAGCAGCAGCACCACCACTGGCAGAAGCAGCAGCAGCACCACCACCGGCAGCACCACCACCGGCAGCAACAGCAGCCTCAGATACAGCCTGCCCCAGCTGTGCCTGTTCCTCTGCTGCTGATGCAGCAGACTCGTCTTGCTTTCCCTCTGTTTGACAGCTTGTTGACGGCTCACTCCCTTGCTGCTGCACCGATGGTTGTGGCTGTACTGCTTGATGCAAGTATTCAGCCAGGCTAATCGGGTCAAAGCCGGGTATGAGCTTCGGCAGGAGAAGGTGGAACAGCTGAGGGCCGAGGGAGGGGTGCCGCGCAATCTCCTGCGGCAAGAAATGCGGACCAGGAGAGGAAGGAAAAGCAAGCATAAGAGATCAGGAATCATGAACCGGGAATAGGAGATCAGAGCCACCCAGGCTGTTGAAGCCAGCGATGAGCTTCGGCAGGAGAAGGTGGAACAGCTGAGATCCGAGGGAGGGGTGCCGAGCAATCTCCTGCGGCAAGATATGCGGAGCGGGAGAAAAGGAGGTACAGGAGAGGAAGGAAAAGCAAGCGTGGGAGATCAGGAAGCAGGAATTGGAGACCAGAGCCAATCGGGTTGTTGAAGCCAGGGATGAGCTTCGGCAGGAGCAGGTGGAACAGCTGAGAGTCGAGGGAGGAGTGCCAGCAATCTCCTGCGGAGAGAGGGAGGGGCGTCAAGGGAAGAAAAGCGATGGTAACATTGCTGAAGACAAGTTTGGAACCATAATACCGCACCGTACCGCACCACACCCTTTTCCACACCATCGCACCCACCCACCTCTACAAGCTCTTCAAGCGCTGGCAGCTTCCCAGAAGTTTCTTCCACATGTTGTAGCACGCAGCGGAACAGGGCAGGGGGGTCGCAGGAAGCTGCCAAAGAGCAGATCTGCCAATGAGATTAGGGTTTGAGGAGGCAAAACTGGGGAGTTTAAAGTCGGATACAACCAACAGCATGCAGAGGGACAGAGAAAGGGAAGTGGGGCTGCAGGCAGCTGCCAAAGAGCAGACATGCCAGGGGTTAGGGTTTGACGAATTTGATAGGATGGGGAGCTATTAACTTGACTCAAACAGCGCACCTATCAATCTTGCTAAACTGCATGTGATTCGAATGTGAATGACGCGAGCTGGAAGAGCACGCACCGCAGCAAAGGCAGGCAGGCGCGCAGAGCGGTAGTGACACCCAAGGGCGGCTGACACGATGCGCTCTATGATCCTCCCCGCTCTGTCCTGCTGCTCCTGCCGCTCCTCCTGCAGCTGTAGCTGCAGCTGCTTTGAGCCGTGCGCTTCTGACTGCAATGAACCCTCTTCAGATTCCCCCTGCTGCTGCAGCTGGTGGCCTCTGAGGGAGACGATTCTGAGCACGGCTTCCATGCAGCGGCTCACCACACTCCCCACGTATTCACACTCCGATGCTGCTGCTGCTGCTGTACCACCCTGCAAGTGCCCCTCCTCGTGTGCTTGCCGTCCCTGGTTCTGTGATGCCTCCCATGGTGTTGTTGTGGACGTGACTGGGCTTGTGCTTGTGGTGGTGGTGGCGGGGGAGTGGCCGGCACAGGTGATGTGGAGAAACGCGTCTGCCGCTAGGAGGAGCACCGCTACCTGTGGGGTGAGAGGCAAAGGGTGGATGGAGGTGACGGGTTGTTGGTGAGGTGGTTACCGGGTTACATGGAGTAACGCGTCTGCTGCTAGGAGGAGTACTGCTACCCGTGGGGTGAGAGGCAATGGGTCGATGGGGTAGAGTAGCATGTTTGTTTTCATGTTTGCTTCATTCCCTTCACACATCCCTGCTCGCCCTCACCTCATCTGCCGTCAGCACATGGGCAACGCACTCCACAGCAGCTTCAAACAGCAGTGCCCGCCGTTCCTCTGCCCCCTCCAGCATCTCCCCCTGCGAGGAGCCCTGCAGTGCCAAGGAGGGTGGAGCGGCAACGGGGTGAGTTGGGGCAACATGCAGCAGCACATGGTTTAGTTTTGAGTCGACTCGAAACTGCAGCAGCACATGGTTTAGTTTTGAGTCGACTCGAAACTGCAGCAGCACATGGTTTAGTTTTGAGTCGACTCGAAACTGCAGCAGCACATGGTTTAGTTTTGAGTCGACTCGAAACTGCAGCAGCACATGGTTTAGTTTTGAGTCGACTCAAAACTGCAGCAGCACATGGTTTAGTTTTGAGTTGACTCAAAACTGCAGCAGCACATGGTTAAGTTTTGAGTCGACTCAAAACTGCAGCAGCACATGGTTTTTCTCTATAAGCTTCCCCACCTGATGTGATGCTGCTGCTGCAGAGATCTTGGCTTCCAAAGCAGCAAGGAGGGCGGAGTGGGTCGGTTGAGAGGCGGAATGGGAGGAAAGAGAAGCGCTGGGACCAGCAGCAGCAGCAGCAGCTGTTGCTGATGCCGACTGCTCTTCCTGCTGAGTGCTGCTTTCGGGGGTTTCCTCTAATTGGTGGGTGGTCGAGTGAGTGGAGACAGGAAGTGAGGAGGGAGAGGCGGGGGGAGAGTCAACCGATTCTGATGAAACCTCAGGTGGGTTGTCAGGTGAAACGCAGGAGGCCTCAGGTGGAGAGGAGAGGGCGACAGCTGTGGTCAGGAGCAACAGAACAATCTGGTGGTATGAGGGGAGGGGATGGCACGATTGCAAGTTGACAGATTAGTACAATGGCAGAATGGCAGATTGGCAAATTGGGATATTGGCAGATGGGCAGATGGGCAGAGAACAAGAAAGGCAGGAAGTAGGAATGATTGGAACTCGGGGCGAGGCGCAAGAGAGGGGCGAGGGAGAGAAGAAGGGGAGAGGGAGAGAAGAAGGGGAGGAGTGGAGGTGGATGGAATGGAAGCAGAGTACCAAAATTACCTTGCAGCCGAGCAGCTGGAGTGTGGGGTCGGCATTGGCACAGAATGGATTTGTTGTTGCAAGAATACTTAAAAACTGTACTTTGATTTCTCGCAACGCAAATGTTACCTTGCAGCCGAGCAGCTGGAGTGTGGGGTCGGCATTGGCACAGAATGGCAGAACGACTGCCACGTGATGCCCGAGATTGAGGGAGGGGCGTGATGGGGGGGGTTGCTCTGTGAAGAAAGGGAGGGAATGTTAGAAAGGGAGAGACGATTTAGAGGGCGCGTTTTGAGGTGATTCGCCACCACCCTTGGTGTAGAAGGGCAGAACATGGGCACACGCAGCCAGGCATGCTGTCACTAGAGCAGACCTCTTAACCAATCTTGTTATTGTGACATCCTTACCTTGCAGCCTTTCCATGGACCGCACTCCACCACTGCTAGCTTCGAGAAAGCAGCAAACTTCTTCCTTACAACAACCCGGCAGCCCCTGCTCCCCAAGTGAAAGCGCATGGAACTGGGCACACACTGCAAGGTAAGCTGTGAGCACTCTCTGCTGCGCCGATGCCACTACCTCCACTGCTGATGTTGCTTCCGCCTCTCCAGCTTCTCTCTCCCGTTCCCCTGCTTCCCCCGCTCCTTCCTCTCCTCCTCCTCTCTCCCCTCCTCCTGCTACACCCCCCAGGTTTGATTTTCCTCTTGTCCGAGGGCCAGGGCTTCCCGGCTGGCTGCTAGGTTTGCTGGATGGCCGGCTACTGGTCTTACTCCCAGGCTTGCTGCCGGCTTGGGTTGGAAGTGGTGCTGCTGGGTTAGGATGGGTGCTACTGGGTGGAGTGGTGTTGGATGGGAATGCGGAGGAAAGGAGAGTGGTGGGATTGAGGGCGGAAGGTACGAGGGAGGAGGGATGGGGAGGAGGAGGGGGTGGGAGGAGGAGAGAGAGGAGGGGACGGAGGAGCGAGAGCATGATCTGAAGCTGCTCCTCTTCCTCCTTGCTGTCCACGTTGCTGCAAGAAGGGAGAGGAAAAATAAAGAGAGAGGTGGTTATTGCAGGCATGTGGTGGCATATGATAGCTTGTTGGATGCGGTAATGAGAAGAAGGAGGAGAGAGAGCATGATCTGCAGCTGCTCCGCTTCCTCCTTGCTGTACACATAGCTGCAAGAAGGGAGAGGAAAAAAAGAGAGATGGGGAGATGGAGAGGGGGTTGTGGCATATGATGGCCAGTTGGATGTGGTAATGAGAACAAGGAGGGGGGAAAGCATGATATGTAACTGCTCCGCGACCTCCTTGCTGTCTACATTGCTGCGAGAAGAGGGAGAGGAACAGAGGGAGAGGAACAGAGGGAGAGGAACAGAGGGAGAGGGAGAGGGATTAGGAAGAGGGGGACGGTGAGGGAGTTGGGGTTAGGCATGTGGTGGCATGTGGTGGCATGTGGTGGCATGTGGTGGCATGTGGTGGCATGTGGTGGCATGTGGTGGCATGTGGTGGCATGTGGTGGCATGTGGTGGCATGTGGTGGCATGTGGTGGCATGTGGTGGCATGTGGTGGCATGTGGTGGCATGTGGTGGCATGTGGTGGCATGTGGTGGCATGTGGTGGCATGTGGTGGCATGTGGTGGCATGTGGTGGCATGTGGTGGCATGTGGTGGCATGTGGTGGCATGTGGTGGCATGTGGTGGCATGTGGTGGCATGTGGTGGCATGTGGTGGCATGTGGTGGCATGTGGTGGCATGTGGTGGCTTGTGCTGTAGCTCTTCCTCGTCCTCCTTGCCGTCCTTGCCCGTGCCACCAAACCTGTACGTAACTCACCTTATCGGTAGCACGCTACAGAGCAGAGAGATGACACTGCCACTGGACCAAGTTGTGACTATTTTTGAGTCGGCTCAAAATTTAGGCTGAATGTAGCTCACCTCATCTGTAGCAGCTCACCTCATCTGCAGCACGCTACAGAGCAGAGAGATGACACTGACTGCCGATGGACCAAGCTGTTTCCGCCTTCCGCTCCTCTCCCTCCCACCCTTCCTCCCCGCCCTCCTCGTTCCCCCTCTTTCCCTCCTCCTTTTTCTCTCCGCATCCTCGTTACAGTCACTCTCACTATCCGATCCACTTGAGCTAGACCCCTCTGACTCCTCCCTCCCCTCTCCTGCGACCCTCCCCTCCACATCCACTATACCTATCCCCGCTCCTTCTCTTCCTCTCCCCACTCCTCTCTCTCCCTCTTTCACGCGCTCAGCCAATGGTGAGTCGTCAATGCACAGCAGTGGAGTGACTGCCTGGAAGAGGTTGGAAGTGGTTGAGAGAGGTTGAGAGCCATTGAGATAAGAGTAAGAGAGATCGAGAGGGGTTGAGAGGGCCATTGAGATGAAACAGTGCCGATCACCCGCACTTAACCTCACCAGCACCGATGCGTGCTCACCTGCCCCTATGCTCACCTGCCCCTCTGCTCACCTGCACACTCTTGCGAACAGCTGAAGTGAGCTGTGGGTGAGACCGAATCAGGGCCGTGCATGCCCGCACACATGCCATCTGAAGCCGCACCTCCTCCTCTTCTAACATGTATGCCCCTCCCGCCCCCCCTCCCCCTCCTGCTCCCCCTGTGCCCCCACCAGCTCCCCCTGTGCCCCCACCAGCTCCCCTTATCCTCACTATAAACCTCGGCGCAGCAACACCACCTGTTGCTGAGCCTAACCCCGAGCCTACACCTGAGCCTGCTGCCGAGCCTGGGGCTGCGTTTGGTACAGAGGTGCTCATTGGTCCGGGGAAAGAGATGGGAGTTGGAGCAGCGAGAGGGGACTGAAAGAAGGACGTAGAGGAAGCGTATGAAGCCAAGGATGAGGAGGTGGGAAGAGGTGAGGAGGTGGAAGAGGAGGAGGAGGATACGGAGGATGGCACGAGAGGGTGAGAGGACGGGATGGGGGGGAGGAAATGGAGGCAGCTGCTGATAAGATCGTCTCGACTCTTGAGATTGATGGCTGTGGTTTGTGGTTGGGAGGAAGCAGTTGCATGAGTACTTGAAGTTGAAAGGACCGGGGCTAAATGAGTGGCAGGATAAGCACTTGAAAGGGGCGGTGGAGGAGCGGTGAGAGCAGATGGAGGGGCAGTGAGAGGAGCAGAGGCGAGTGTGAGGATGGATTGAGCCACGGCTGTCTTGGCTGGAAGGGACGTCACTGCAGCTAAGGGAGCAAACACGTTCGCATCCTGTGAGAATCAGGGAATGAAGGTGGGGAGAAAAGCAAGTGGGAACAAACAGGGAGTGAGAGGGAAGAGAGCAGCAGAGGCGAGTGTGAGGATGGATTGAACCACGGATGTCTTGGCTGGAAGGGATGATGATTGTGACATCATTGTTACACACAACGTGACATCAGCTGTTACACCAATGCGATCGCATATGCAAAGCCAACTGACCAGCAGTGTTCTGATTCGCGAATCCACCACGGAAGCTTCCGAGAAGGCCACCGTGTAGCGGTACGTCAGCGCCAGCGCAGCGCACACGTCATCATGCATCAGCGGGTCCCGGAGGAAGTCAGCAGCTGCTGACGTGGCAGTCTCCTTCTTGAACAGGCGCTCGAGAGGAGGGAGAGCGAGCTTGGGGGCAGAGGAAGCGGAGGAGGAGGAGGAGGTAGAGGAAGAGGCGGAAGAGGAGGAGGTTTTGGGGATGAAGATGGCCGATTGAGAGCCGAGGGTTTTCACAAACTGGTATATGCTGCACCGGCAAGGGAAAACCAGGCAAGGAAAAAGAGTGCAGAAGAAAAAATGGGGGAGGGATGAGATTTTTGGGACAAGCCAACAGCCAAGCAGCTTCAGGAAAGAATGAGCTCAATGCGGCCGGATTTAATCTGACAAAAAAGAACGACAAAAAGTAGAAAAGCTGATGTACCGTTGCAGGTTAGAGACAGAGTAAGAGTCGAGGACTTGCTCCAAGGTGGCCAACATCACGTCGAGATGCACCGCCGCCACCTGATGGCAGAGAGAGAGAGGACGTTGAGAGGCAGAGGCGAGAAGCAAGGAGACACAGGGGTTGAGTGCTGCAAGTTGCAGACGGAGTAGGAGTCGAGTCGAGGACTTGCTCCAAGGTGGCGCGCACACCACGTCCAGATGCACCGCCGCCACCTGCAGAGAGCGATAAGGTTGGGAAGAGAGGAGACACAGAGGGAGTTGAGGAGGCAGAGGGAAGGCAACGCCACAACACATTGTCGCAGGTTTGAGAGGGAGTTGAAGTGGAGGACTTGCTCCAAGGTGGCGACCACCACATCCAGATGCACTGCCGCCACCTGCAGAGAGAGAAGGTTGTTGAAAAGGCACGACGAAAATCAAGAGGCAGGGTCTTGAGACGTGTCAGCAAAAGGTAGCCAGCGTGGCACTTGATGCAAATAAACAGATGTCATCTGCACTGCAGCTAGTGGTAAGAGAGGACAAGAAGCCTTCTGAGACGCCTTAAGAGACATGCAATAGGACTGAGAAGTGCTTTTGCATGTCTCTTAAGGCGCAAAGAAGTAACTCACAGTACCAAGCCCCATGGCAAGAGCGTGCCGGTCGAGGGGGTCAGAGAGGGTGGCAGAGTCAAACATGAGGGCCACGCGGCGCTGAATAAAGACGGCGTCTGCCGCTCGCTGGACTAGCGCCCCCATGCACCTGGTGTGAGGGAGGGGAGAGGGAAAGAGCATACGGTAGTGGTGAACTGTGGTTGAGTTGTCACTAAAAAAATAATGAGCGCTTGCACGTACAGACTTGTATATTGAGTCAGCTAAATCCCTCGCACGCACACACAAATGTATAAATGCATGCATGCTTACACACACCCCATGCTTGCGCACACCCCAACCCAAGCATCCACCCAGGAGACGAAGGAGCACACACATTAGGGAAGAAACGCACAGTAACCCACTCACCTGTGCAGCAGGATGTGCTGACTTGCATCCATGCACGGCCACAAGTAGAAGGCAGCGAAGCCGTCACACACCCGTGCAGTCCAGTCAGCATGGTTCACCGCGTCAATCGCCCTTTTGAGCATCTGTGACCATGTGAAAATAGGAAAACAAAAACATTGGAAAAAAAAATAATATATATATATATATATATATATATATATATATATATATATGCAAACGGGAGTATGAATAGCTGGTTCTTGGCATGCCCCAAGAATCACCCAGAAAACGATGGAGCAGAGAGAAAAGGGCAGAAACAGCTTCAGCTCACGTAAACATCTTATTGCCCCCCACGTGCAACCTCTCACTCTCTCTCCCTTTCTCGCGCTACAGAAACACACCTGCAAGATGGGGAGAATAGAAAAGGTGAGGGAGAAGCGGTCGGGTCTCACCCCTTCACTTCACTGCCCGTGAATGTCTCGGGCACACCTCAAAAACCCTGCAAGGTGAGCTGTCAGCACCCGCTGCTGCGGGCACAACCTTTGAGAAGTCTCAGAAACCCTCCACACACAAGAACATCACCTGCTCCTACTCGACCTTTGAAGAAGAGACAAACCGGACCACCAATGCAAAGCAAACGTCATGTAATTCCTCGTTACCTTCATGGTGGCGTCCTGCCACACGGCTCTTCTGCGCTCCAAAGACTGTTTTCTCCCCAGGCGCTCTGCCAAGTGTGTCATGTGCTCGATCTGAAAGGAAGGTGGGATGGAGGGAAGGAGGAAAAGCTTTTGAGGCGCCTCAAAAGTTGCTCTGCTAAGTTTGTCATGTGCTCGATCTAATAGGAAGGTGGGATGGATGGAAAGTGGGGAGGAGGGAAGGGCGGAAGAGAGGGTAGGAAGGAGGACAGGAGGGATAGCGGTGCTGCTATGTGCTTCAAGTGCTTGATCTCGTGAAGAAAGGAAGAGAGTGAAGAAGGGGTGGGCGGGAAGAAAGGAAGAGAGTGACAAAGAAACAGAAGGAATATTTCCAACGTTTTGTATTCTTTGTAGTTCATTCTCAGAGACAAATGCCAAGTTTCATTCTCAGAGCGGTGACGAAGGCCATCGTCCGAAACGCGCGTACGCTCAGGTTTGAATGACAATTTTCTTACCTAATCAATCCCTGCTAGCCTAAGCTCAGCCTATAAGAGATTAGAACGAGTTAGACCTGCTGGATCTGGGTCGAAACTGTTTTCCTATTCTCTGTAGTTCTTTCTGAGAGACAACTGCCAAGTTTTATATGTGCGCTACGATAGTTGCCTTATAAAAACCATGCCCCTCCAGAGGAGCTAAGACCAGCGGCGCATTGCTCTTTCTGTCCCACGACGAGCAAGGGAAGAGACACAGATAGAGCATAACGAGTAGATCAGGCAAGACCAAGTGGGCTTACGTCGAGAGCGAGTGACTCAAAGGCAGAAGGCAGAGTGCTCTGGCGAACAAACTCAAGGACCTGCGAGAGTATCAAAGTAGAACCATCAAAGTGGAATCAGCAGGAAGAATCAAGGAAAGTTGCTGGATATGTGCTATGTTTGGGCAAACAGCATTTTTTGCCACTTGGACAAGCCGCTGAGAGGGTTGAGCATGGTTTGTTCGACAATAATTGGTTACAAGACAAAGGCAGGGTAATCATCTGAGCAGCTACAGGGAGGTGTTTGAAGGCTGAGAAACAAGAGAAGCGCTCTTTTGAAGTCCTGATGAACGGCGGCGCTGATGAAAGCCTAAGGGCTGGAACGCGTTCGCCTTGCCCAATCAGAACTTACGCTTCGAGACTTATCAAGTCCTGGTTTATGCCCTTTTCCTAGCCTTACAAAGCAACCCACCCACTACACTTAGCTGAAATTTTTACGGAGACCACACGGCTTGCTGCGGTCCGAATCCTTCTCTACTCTGCAAGAAGCGCTCTTTTAAGCTGATCCTCTTCTCTTTTCAAGCACTTCTCATGTGAGACGGGAGGGGTGCTGAAGGGTTGGAGGTGCAGAGTGGTATGGAAAGCTTTTATTATGCATAGACTAGTCATACAGGAGAGGAGTTCATACAAGGTAAGGAAGTCACCTGGAAGATTCTCATCCTCCTCGGTGCTTCGGTGAGTGTCTTGTCACTTCCGAGCAGAATAAGCAACCGAGGTAAAAGCTCCTGGGAAGGAGGGAGAGAGAGAGACAGGGCAACAGACACCAAGTCCATACTTCAAAGAAAGTGGCACCACGGTGCAGATTGGCAGTAACTACCTCAAGTTCGAGCATAGCAGATTTACGGATCATACACTGGATGTAGCACACGCGGTCCACAGTCTTAGTAGTATCTCCAGGTGACTTTGAGTCGACTCAAAAGCCAACTAAACCCACACCCATAGTACCCCCAGGTGGCTTTTGAGTTGACCCAAAAGCCAACACAGTCCACCCCCTTAGTACCTACGTCGAGAGGCGGCAGCTTGAACTGGGAAAGCCCCCGAATCTCCCTCTCCGCACTCTCCACCTTCTCTACCACACCACTGGCTGCACCCACTGTACCCCCTGCATTCCCTCCCTCGGCAGTAGTCATCCCCTCCATCCCACCTGTAATACGGGCTTAGAACTACGGCCTTAGTACCACGGCCTTAGTACCTACGTCCAGAGGCGGCAGCTTGAACTGGGAAAGCCCCCGAATCTCCCTCTCCGCACTCTCCACCTTTTCGGCTGCGACCACTGTACCACCACCTGCGTCCCCTCCATTCCTCCCTCCCTCATTCCCATAGCCACTGGTCGTCCCCTTGACCCCGCCTGTACTACGGCCTTAGAACCACGGCCTTAGTACCACGGCCTTAGTACCTACCTCCAGAGGCGGCAGCTTGAACTGGGAAAGCCCCCGAATCTCCCTCTCGGCACTCTCCACCTTTTCGGCTGCGACCACTGTACCACCACCTGCGTCCCCTCCATCACTCTCTCCCTCACTCCCATAGCCACTGGCCGTCCCCTCGACCCTGCATGTTCCACTGGCTGGCACTCCAGTCCCAGGTTCGAGATTCCCCCGCTTCAGGGGCAGCAGAGGGTGTCTTTCGAGCGATGATCGTTGATAAGCATTGCAGGACCTGCGATTGGAGGTGGGGAGGGACAGGATGGACGTGGGTAAACAGCGGGACACAGAAGGTAAGAGACGGAATACGACTCAACATGGAATGATGAGAGACAGTGAAGAACACTTGGATATTACTTGTTATAGATGCACTATGACATCCAATTAATGAGTATGGCAGGACCAGCGTTTAGAAGGTTACTACAGAGTGAATTTGTGTGCTGTGCTGAGAGGAACAGTGGGATGCGATGATACCATAAGTGGCAGGATGCGGTAACTAGTGGTAGGATGCGGTTACCAGTGGCAAGATGCAGTCGAGGCTTGACTTGACCAGCGATCGTAGCAGAGCCAGCAGCAACACATCCTGCAGAATCAGGAGCAGAGAAGATATTCAGGGAATAAATCCTTTCATTCAGGCACACATAGCACTACTTTGAGATTACTAAAAAATGATTTGCACACCTGAAAAAGTACCTTGGCTGTCTGAACGAATGCTATTATACATGAGAGGGGTGTATAAATCGGTGACTCACAATTATGGGTGACTCACATCCATGGGTGACTCACATCACATCCATGGTATGGACTGTATTTGCAAGGATACTCATTCCCTTGCTGCACACGTGATACACCTCAGGGGCTCTCCAAACAAATGCTACCCTACCACTCCGTGAGAGGGGTGTGACTCACATCCATGGTATGGACTGTATTGGCTAGGATGCTCAGCCCCTTGCTGCACACGTGATACAGTGGATCCTCCTCCCCTCCCCCTCCTGCCGCCCTCCTCCTTGCCTCCCTCGCACCCACCCCACCACTACCGCTGCCACTACTGCTGCTGCTGGTACTGCTATCAGTGGCCGAAGTGAGTGAGGAGTGAGAGGAGGAGGGATGGGAGGAGGAGGGGGATGGGCGGAAGGAGCGGCCGGCTTGGGAGATGAGGAAGAAGAGGAGGTGGTAGGCGGGGACTGGGTGAGCTGGCAGCAGCTGATTGGTGGCTGCCATGGCGAGGATGAGCTGAGGAGGGGTGGGGAACATGGGGCAGGAAGGAAGAGAAAGGTTAAGAGTTGAGGAGGAATTGGGAACAAGGAGCACAAAGCAGAACAGAAGGTTGTCAGAACCTGCAACAGCACCGTTTCCAGCCCACAGGGACGCATAGGCAGAGCTTCAAATGAGCCACCTGAGACAATACCTGTACTGAACGATCTCCTTGCGAGTCTCTTCGCATGGCACATTCCTGGCCACAAGCACAACTGCACCCAGCAGGGACAAGCACGCAGAGCTCCTAATGAGCCGCCTAAACCAGAGACATACCTGAACTATCTCCTTGCGAGTCTCATCACACGGTGTATTCCTGGCCACAAGCACAGCAGCCCCCAGCAGGGAGGCACACGCAGAGCTCCACTCCACCTCCACCTCTCCCACTGGCCGCAGCAGAACTGCCTCTATCGGCGACACCCCTCCTCCTGCTGCTGCTGAGCCTCCTCCTCCCACCGTTGATCCTCCTCCTCCCCCCCCTGCCCCTCCCCCCATCCCTCCTCCACCACTGCTCGACCCCATTGCTGCTCCTCCTGCTCCTCCTGCTGTGTCCCTCGCTCCTCCCCACTCTCCCCCTCTAGCGCTATCAGGAACCCCTGGAGGGCTGGAGGGGTCACTAGAAGGGAGGCCTAGGGACGGGTGGATCAGGGACGAGCGCCCCTGAACCCACCCCAGAGCGAAAATATCCTGTGCTGACGTGTCCTGCGCGCTCTCCATGGCCTCCTCTGATTGGACGATGTAGATTGCTCCCTGGCAGAACTGCTCCTCGTTTCCCGCCCACACTTGAGGCATGCTGCACGGTGCAGAGCAGCACAAGGCACGTAACCAGTGCAGGATTTGTTAGAGAGAAACTCGTTAGGCAGCTTTGAAAAATGCGTGAATGCCTTTACTCCCTGACAGAACTGCTCCTCGCTGCTCACCCACATTTGCAGCATGCTGCATGCAGAGCAGCACTGATGACATTCAGTACACAAGTAGCACTCAAGACGCAGGTGAGGTGAAAAACTTAGCATTCAGCAAAGGGTGTTTCCCTATGAGACATGCAAATAAAGAGATCGTATAAATAAGGAGATCGTATAAATAAGGAGATCGTATATGCACTGCACCCTACCTGGCAGAACTGCCAGGTAGGGTGTTTCCCTACCTGGCAGGTAGGGTGAGCACAAGTAGCATTCAGCAAAGGGTGTTTCCCTTGGAGACATGCAAAAGGATATCGTATATGCACTGCAAATAAGGAGATCGTATATGCACTGCAAATAAGGAGATCGTATATGCACTGCAAATAAGGAGATCGTATATGCACTGCAAATAAGGAGATCGTATATGCACTGCAAATAAGGAGATCGTATATGCACTGCAAATAAGGAGATCGTATATGCACTGCAAATAAGGAGATCGTATATGCACTGCAAATAAGGAGATCGTATATGCACTGCAAATAAGGAGATCGTATATGCACTGCAAATAAGGAGATCGTATATGCACTGCAAATAAGGAGATCGTATATGCACTGCAAATAAGGAGATCGTATATGCACTGCAAATAAGGAGATCGTATATGCACTGCAAATAAGGAGATCGTATATGCACTGCAAATAAGGAGATCGTATATGCACTGCAAATAAGGAGATCGTATATGCACTGCAAATAAGGAGATCGCACTGCACCCTACCTGGCAGAACTGCTCCTCGTTGCTCGCCCACACGTGCAGCATGCTGCACATAGTGCAGGGATGCTGGCATGCGGCATGCTGCACCCGTTCACGGATCATTCGTTGAATAATGCATTCAGCAGCATTCTACATGCACGCATGCCTTTTACAATTTCACTTACCTTAGAATAGAATATGTGACACAAGACACGAGACAGCCTGGTGCGCGCGCGCACACACACACACCTGGTCACAATGCGGCGCAGCAGAACCAGAGCCCCCTGCCTGATCCGCACGTCCACCCCTCTGTGAGCCGCCCTCTGTGGTGGCAGGGCGGGAGAGATGACAAGGAGAGGGCAAAGAGAGGGCAATGGGTGAGGGCAAGGAAACCCCTCGCTACATCCCAGTATGCTTTCATCAGGTAAATGTTCCTTCCTGCCTGATCCGCACGTCCACCCCTCTGTGAGCCGCCCTCTGTGGTGGCAGGACGGGAGAGAGGCCAAGGAGAGGGCAAAGCGAGGGCCATGGGTGAGGGCAAGGAAACCGCTCACTACATCCTAGTATGCTTTCAGCAGGTATATGTTCCTTCCTGCCTGATCCGCACGTCCACCGAACTGTGAGCCGCCCTCTGCGGTGGCAGGACGCGAGAGAGAGCACGGGAAAGGAAACCACCTTATGCTTCCACCAAAGGTGTCTGAATGTTTCTGCCAAACGCGCATTTTGATCTCAGGAATTGTCTCGACAGCGGAGGAAGGGTGAGGCCGCTATGGCCACTCACCTGGATGGCAAAGGCGCTTGCGTGTTGCGGAAACGCCTCTGTGATGGTCATGGCGCACCGCATGGCTGTGTTGAGGCCCTGTGAGAGACATCAGATCAGAATAATGCACGCAAGGGTTGCATGTATGGGAGGCATGCGTAAGCCACATGCATGGGATGTGCGGAGCCATAGCAATCATAAACTGGGTCCCAATAATTTGTAACATATATAAAGAAAATATTACTTTAATGCACCGGCCATTTTACTCGCACTGATTACACTCACCATGAAAGGGGTTAAACATAGAGTGAGGTTTAAACAACAGTGAAGGAGTTACTTACTCACAGCAGTGACAGGGTTTACTCACAGTGATGGTGATGCGGATATCAGCCGCGTTGGAGCTCAGGCGACTGGTGTAGTGGCCTATCAGGGCGAGCAGGAACTCCAGCGTGGGGAGCAGCACCTGGGATGGGGAGGGGATTGATGAGGTAGCTGTCGTTTAGAGTATTTAAGAGCCTTTCAACTGAAACACAACTGGTTGGTGTAGTGGCCTATCAAGGCGAGTAGGAACTCCGATGTAGGAAGCAGCACCTGGGATGGGAACATGCAACGCGAAGGAACTTGTATTCTCAAAAGCACTCAGAAGTAACTCAGCTAAAGTCTAGTTTTGAGGCGCCTCAAAATTACTCAGAAGTAACTCAGCTAAAGCTCCACCGTGAGAGCATTCAAGCTGAGAAGCGCTGGGCAGAGCATGATGCACCCTCTTTCAAGTTATTTACCATCCCTTGCTACCGCCAGATTCACACCTTTGGGTTGATTCCTTGCTTGGGAAGCCCAAGTATTGCAGCTGCGCTAGCTGCAGCAGCAGCAGAAGCGGCAGCACCAAGCGCAGTAGCGGCAGCACCAAGCGCAGTAGCAGCAGCACCAGCCGCGCTAGCATCTGCTTCTCTTGTTGCCCCAGATAAAGCCTGCTCTTCCCCAGATAGCCTCTGCTCAGGTCCCCCACTGCCACCGCCACTCTTGCTGCTGCTGTCACCGCTGCCGTCTGGGTCTGGACTGCCGCCCAGGAGAGCTCTCAAGAGGGTACTGAGGCTGTCTGTAACGTGTACGTGCTGATACTCCTCTGGCTCCTTGCCGTACCTGAAGAACAGTAGGGGGGGAGGTAGTGAAGTGCATGGAGGCAGAGGCATAAACTACACAACTCACAACCACACGTACACGGTACAGCATGACACACACTCACAGGGATGACTTTTGAGTCGACTCAAAAGTCAACTCTTATCTGAAGAACAGTAGCAGGGAAGGTAGCAAAAGGCACGAAGGCAGAGACATAAACTACACAACTCACAACCACACGTACACGGTACAGCATGACACACATTCACAGGGATGACTTTTGAGTCGACTCAAAAGTCAACTCTTATCTGAAGAACAGTAGCAGGGAAGGTAGCAAAAGGCATGAAGGCAGAGACATAAACTACACAACTCACAACCACACGTACACGGTACAGCATGACACACACTCACAGGGAGAGAAGGGCGGGCAGCAGCACGCTGAGCGTGAATCGCAGGTAGCTCTCCTGCAGCAGAAACTGTGGAGCGTGCATGTGGTCATAAATAGATTTGTTGTGCATTGTGCCGTGCCACAGCATTCACAGGTGGAAACTCACAGGGAGCGAAGGGCGGGAAGCAACGCGCTGAGCGTGGATCGCAGGTAGCTCTCCTGCAGCAGAAACTGTGGAGCGTGCATGTGGTCATAAATAGATTTGTGCATTGTGCCGTGCCACTGCATTCACAGGTGGAAACTCACAGGGAGCGAAGGGCGGGTAGCAGCGCGCTGAGCGTGGATCGCAGGTAGCTCTCCTGTAGCAGAAACTGTGGAGCGTGCATGTGGTCATAAATAGATTTGTGCATTGTGCCGTGCCACAGCATTCACAGGTGGAAACTCACAGGGAGCGAAGGGCGGGAAGCAACGCGCTGAGCGTGGATCGCAGGTAGCTCTCCTGTAGCAGAAACTGTGGAGCGTGCCATGTGGTCATAAATAGATTTGTGCATTGTGCCGTGCCACAGCATTCACAGGTGGAAACTCACAGGGAGCGAAGGGCGGGAAGCAACGAGCTGAGCGTGGATCGCAGGTAGCTCTCCTGTAGCAGAAACTGTGGAGCGTGCCATGTGGTCATAAATAGATTTTTGCATTGTGCCGTGCCACAGCATTCACAGGTGGAAACTCACAGGGAGCGAAGGGCGGGAAGCAACGCGCTGAGCGTGGATCGCAGGTAGCTCTCCTGTAGCAGAAACTGTGGAGCGTGCCATTTGGTCATAAATAGATTTGTGCATTGTGCCGTGCCACTGCATTCACAGGTGGAAACTCACAGGGAGCGAAGGGCGGGTAGCAGCGCGCTGAGCGTGGATCGCAGGTAGCTCTCCTGTAGCAGAAACTGTGGAGCGTGCCATGTGGTCATAAATAGATTTGTGCATTGTGCCGTGCCACAGCATTCACAGGTGGAAACTCACAGGGAGCGAAGGGCGGGAAGCAACGCGCTGAGCGTGGATCGCAGGTAGCTCTCCTGTAGCAGAAACTGTGGAGCGTGCCATGTGGTCATAAATAGATTTGTGCATTGTGCCGTGCCACAGCATTCACAGGTGGAAACTCACAGGGAGCGAAGGGCGGGAAGCAACGCGCTGAGCGTGGATCGCAGGTAGCTCTCCTGTAGCAGAAACTGTGGAGCGTGCCATGTGGTCATAAATAGATTTTTGCATTGTGCCGTGCCACAGCATTCACAGGTGGAAACTCACAGGGAGCGAAGGGCGGGAAGCAACGCGCTGAGCGTGGATCGCAGGTAGCTCTCCTGTAGCAGAAACTGTGGAGCGTGCCATGTGGTCATAAATAGATTTGTGCATTGTGCCGTGCCACAGCATTCACAGGTGGAAACTTACAGGGAGCGAAGGGCGGGTAGCAACGCACTGAGCGTGGATCGCAGGTAGCTCTCCTGCAGCAGAAACGCCATCTCCGCCATGGCCTTGGCTGTCGATAGCCGGGCCTGGTTGGGAGAAAGAATGGAAGGTTGGAGAAAATATTAAGGTGTTACAAATGCCTCGACGCAGGTAGCTCTCCTGCAGCAGGAACGCCATCTCCGCCATGGCCTTGGCTGTGGATAGCCGGGCCTGGTGGGAGGGCGTAGGGAGAGTAAAGCGTTGGTGGGGGAAAAGCAGGGCGTCAAGGATGCTTCGAGAAGGCAGCTCTCCTGCAGCAGGAACACCATCTCTGCCATGGCCTTGGCTGTCGACAGCCGGGCCTGCAGGAAGAACAAACGGGGATACAGGAGAGCAGGGCGTTGCGTTTGACATCTAAGAGGTAATCTCAACACTCGGTGCCTTAACACAGCATGCTGTCCCCGCCAGCAAGTTGTGTCGTGTGCCATTGTAACGAGGTGCCTTAGCATGCTGTCCGTCAGCGAGTTGACAAAGACGCCTCTTCCGACCAGGCCCGGCTCAGTGCACCAGAAACACCATATCTGCCATCGAGTTGGCCTTGGCTGCTTTTGAGTCGACTCAAAAGCAGACGTATCAACACTCGGTGCCTTAACACAGCATGCTGTCCGCCAGCAAGTTGACAAAGACGTTGACAAAAGACGTCTCTCCTGCACCAGAAACACCATATTTGCCATCCAGTTGGCCTTGGCTGTGGCGAGCCGGGCCTGGTCGGGAGAGAGGGGTGAAGGGCTGGAGGGAAGGACCAGGGCACCAATGAAGGTTCAAGCAGAAGGCTCTTCTGCACCTAAAATGCCAAAGCTAGATCTGCATCAGACTGAAACCCTTTATTAACTGAAACACACAAGATATAAAAAGAGTTTGACCTCCCGCATCACAAATGGTATTCTCGCCAAAACCTCTGCTGTGGCTAGGCAAGACGAGAAATATGCCCACAGTAAATGCGGATAATGCACACAGTAACAGGTTTGAAGCAGACTGATTGAGGGCACAGTGGAGTTTGTGGGGTTTGAGGTTTACCGGTGAGGAGGAGGAGAGGAGCCAGCGCTGCAGGAAAAGGTCGAATGCCGATTGCAGGAGGGCACTGACAGGGACAAATGGGTCGATGCACAGGAATGGAAGGCAAACGCAGTAAGGAAGCACATGAAACGCCATGCGATTCAGAGTGCGATGTCCCTGTGAGTGTGATGGAGAAAACAGCATCACACTCTAAATCGCAGTAAGAAAACGGTTGCAAGGCAGGCAGGAGGAGAGCCCAGACACCAGCTGCTGCTCACACTCACACAGCCTCGAGCATTGGGACATCTTAAGAAGACTCACACAGACTCCTCCCAATCTTCAACCGTCCATGGAATATTCCTCAGCTCATCCAACGGTGCTCCGCCCTCCTGATTCCCCTCCCCACTCGCCTCCCTACTTCGCCTCTCCTGAAGCGCTAGCACCACAGCCATGCCTTGCCCGTGCATGAATGCCCGGCACCAATGGGCGATTGCTGGGGTGGCGGGTAGGTGGATGACACGGGGGGGCAGGGGCAAGGAGGTGATAGTCAGCAGCACCACAGCCATGCCTTGCCCGTGCGTGAATGCCCGGCACCAATGGGCGATTGCTGGGGTGGCGGGTAGGTGGATGACACGGGGGGGCAGGGGCAAGGAGGTGATAGTCAGCAGCACCACAGCCATGCCTTGCCCGTGCGTGAATGCCCGGCACCAATGGGCGATTGCTGGGGTGGCGGGTAGGTGGATGACACGGGGGGGCAGGGGCAAGGAGGTGATAGTCAGCAGCACCACAGCCATGCCTTGCCCGTGCGTGAATGCTGCATATGTTTTCTGAGAATTCCCAAAAAACATACGCAGCAGAGAATTCTCAAAAAAACATACTTGCCCGAGCGTGAATGCCCGGCACCAGTGGGCGATTGCTGGGATGGCAAGTGAATGACACGGGGGGGTTTGAAACGTGGGTGGGAGTTTGACACGTGAGAGACCACACTGGGAAGAAGATTGGAACATAGGATGGGGGTTGATTTGTGGGAGTTGGAATTCAGGGGTTGAAACTCAAACTTGAGAAATCGATACTACTACAGAGTGGATTAATGGGAGTAAAAACGTGAAAGCTTTTACAAAAAGCTGGTTAAAGGAGCATCATTTATCTCTCACCATCAGCAAAGACGTGCTTGGTGGTCTCTGTAACCGTCAGCAGCTGTGGAACAATCTTCCTCAAAACATTCGGCCACATTGCACGGAACACGGCAGCTGATGTGGGTGCAGGGGAGTGGAAATGGATTGCAAGACGGACGAGCGGAATCAGAGTTAATTTTAGCACATTCGACCACACGGCCTGGAGTACAGCACAGCAGCAGGTTGTGGGATGGGATGGAGGGGAGGTTTCAGGGGGAGAGGTGAAGATAAGGGCTTTGATTTGTTGAGTTTTTTCCCCTTTGTTTTGTAGAGTTGAACATAAGGCCAAAGCACAGGAGCTGCATGTGAGGGAAGGGACAGAAACGGGGAGTGGGAGTGGATTTGGGGTTGGGTGGGTTGATAAACGGACCTAGGGGAATGTAGATGTGTGATGGAGTGGTGACGGAGCACAAAGGGGACAAGTCAAATGGGAGGGTGGGTGATTGGATGGTTCGTCATGGAAATCCCATAAAAAGACAAGACCGGCCGGCCACCAATGAAATGCAAGACTCACGTCTATTCTTTGCCATCTGGCCGAAGGCATCGGCAATGAGATGCAGTGGTGGCTGAGGCACACAGAAAACCTCGTCCAGAGCCTGCACAGCACACGTGGCAGGCAGAGATGGGTACACGTGGCAGGCAGAGATGGGTACACGTGGCAGGCAGAAATGGATACACGTGGCAATCAGAGATGCACATTGACGACGCTAAGATGTGGGTTCGCCATGCAAGTGCTGCTTTTGAGTCGACTCACATGCTGCTTAGGACTCAGTGGATGGTGACAGAGGGACTGACCCTAAACCCTGAACCCTTCCCCCAACCCCCCCCCAAAAACAAAAAGGACACAGCATGTGGTGTAGAGTGGCACGATGAACAGGGAATTACCAGTGCAGTGGACGCAGCTGCTACAGCCGTGATGACAGATGCTACAGCCACGTTCAGTGGTGACCCAATGTCCTGCATCGTGCAGGTAATGGGGTATGGAGTTCGATGGGGTGGGGAGGGAAAAAAGGTGAAGGGAAAGAAGAAAGGAGGGACAAAAGGAAGAGAGAGGCATGGAGGGAAAGAATGGAAGTGAAGGGAACAGACAGAGACATCAAAGATAATATATTTTCATGAGTTTAATTCTCTGAACCAGCATGCTGATATCCAGCACTGTCTAGGTTCAACGCACCTGAGTGCTGCCAGCGTCAGATCGGCCTGCCAGCTGCATCTCCGCCAGCACCAGCTTCATGCTCTGCACCAGCATCGTGTGATCCGACATGCGTCTAGGCACAACAACGCACCTGAGCACTGCCAGTGCCTGACCGCCCTGCCACCTGCATCTCCGCCAGCGCCAGCTTCATACTCTGCACCAGCATCGTGTGATCCGACACCCCTCCCCCCCCATCTGAACCCATTCCCACCCCTCCACCTTCCGCTGACACTCCCCCTCCTGCGACCACCCCCCATGCTGCTCCTTCAGCCCCTGCTGAGACTCCCGCCGCAGCAGCAGCAGCGGAGTGCTGTTGGCGAGTGAGGGAGGTGATAGAGGCTGCGATGACAGAGAAGAGGTTGGTCTTGTGGTGCTGCGGCAGCTGAGGCACCGACCACCACAGGCTGGTGCTCTGAAGGGAGGGAAAAGGGGGGCGGATTTGGGAACAGAAGGGGTGGGGGGTGGAAGGGGAAGGATTGCAAAAGCGCGACAGCGAGAAGCGGCAGAAGCGTTGGCGGTGGGAGAAAGATACAAGCATGCTGATGGCGGCAACAATGACAGAGAAGAGGTTGGTCTCAAGTTTCGGAATTTTACCTGACCGGATTGGAGAAGCTCGGAACAGAAGAGCAGAACGAGCTTGGGGTTACTGCAAGCAAACAGGACACATGTCAGAAACAGCTACACGCATTCTGGGAACATCATAAATTCAGCATATGTGCATATTGGGAACAGCCTGGAAATACTAGGAGCGGGTGTGAGTGTTCGGATTAACCCAGGGTGACTCACGAAAGACTCCTCAATGCAAACTCACACTGTGGCTACGGACTTGAGCACATCTGGATGAGTCAGGGAGCGCATCCTCAGGTGTACATTGAATCCCGACCAACTCACACTGCGGCGATCGACTTGAGTGCATCCACGTCTGCCTGCTGAACCTCGGGCGAGCCTACTTTGAGTCTACTCAAACCGCGTCAGAAACAGCCAGGGCGAGGAATACCAAAACACCAACTCACACTGCGGCGATGGACTTGAGTGCATCCACGGCTGCCTGCTGAACCTCCGGTGAGCCATCCGCCAGTGAGGACGTGAGGTCTGACAACTCCGTGTCTGTTGAATTACGACAGCAATTTGGTCATCATGTGGGAAGGGGGACACAGATTCATGACCAGAGGTTACCAGGACGAGATGTCCGACAACTACATGTTTGTTGAATCCCGGGATAGTTTTGGAGAGCAGGGAATCGTAGTCTCATAAGCAGAGTCCAACGGAACGTGAAGAACGGCAAACCCTTGTCTACCGGATCACAATGATCCGCTGGTTCACTAGAACGGGAAACACATAACAGATCCATTGCTGAAGTGTCCGACATTCTCCGTGTCAGGTTCATGTCAAGGATGGCACGAAACCCGAAGGGTGAAAGGAGCGAAAGCATGACATCAACGGCTATCGACGAAGCTATCAAGGTGAGAAGAAAAGCCGGAAACCGGGTGAGAAACAGGAAGTTAACGGACCGAATTGACCAGGGAACAAGGTTCTACGTAAAGGCTCTGATGGATGATGAACGACCAGCACAGGAGCCAACATTCAGCAATGATTGATCAACCGTGGGAGGTGATTCATGCGATCGTACATGTCGTCAGCGACGCCTTCATCGTCGCTGGCGATTAATGCGACGACGAGCCTGGCGACAAGTCCGAATCCGTGGTTAACCGGCGGTAAAAAACGGTGATATATTGCTTCTGCAAGCTTCGGGGCTTCTTTCCGCCTATCGCTTACGTGTCGCCAGACGCACCGAACCTCGACAAAGTGGCCGATTCTGATCCGAATCGCGAAGAAAGTAACCCGAATTCCGTTGCGCGTGGCCTTCGCTAGTTCTGCCGTTACGCGAATCTAAACCGGTTGCGCTTCTAAGTTCTATCGGACTAACTGAAAGCCGGTAACTGGCCTGTCTGCATCATAACCAGTGATGCTATGATTTCATCACTTCAGGCTCTGAGCAGGATGGAGGAGTCAGTTCGTCCGCCATGGATTTCATCAGGGGTGTGTGTCAGAAACAGTGACCAGAATTTCAAACGCTGTAGCGTTTTTCGGGTGCTTGAAGCGGGGTTCTAAATTCCAGAACACCGCGGCCCTCGTTAACGCCGCACTGCTTATTGTGAATCATGCAGAACATTTTTAGTGTAGACATTACATGATGCTTACACCATTTATGGAAGCATTTATATCTTGGCACGTGGCAGTAGCTCAGCCAGCCCGTCTCTTCTGGAAGTTAAACACGCGGACGCGTGTAGAATCCTCCACGTCATTCAACTCGTTTGGAGAACACGAGTACCTCTTCCCCTCAATGCAGGCACAATGTTGAGGAAGGGCATGTGATGCAAACCAAGAGCTGACAGATACGGGTGCTTCTGACGAATTCGGTATTCTCAAGGTCGACTGGTATCAAATTCAACACATCCCGAGAAATTATTCAACACAACTCCAGCCATTCTCTCGGGAATTCCTTTTCATACCTTGCGGTAACGGCTATTTTTGCAATCACTTACGGAGTCGTGTGCGTAATCGCGGCTTCTACGACTCCGTCGTTGCCGACATGGAAACCCTCGCTGCCTCGTCCTTGTCCTTCTCCCTGAAACCGAGCCACGCCGCGCCAGTCGGTGTTAAAAGCATTTCAGTAAGCTCCACGTCGAACAATGTCCATGAATATGCCGCGTAGAGACTGCATTTCCTAATGTTCCTGTGCTTTTACTTAGACTTGACTATGCATCGTCAGCGGCTTCCTTCCGCAACCTGTGTCATTCCCCGCACGGCATTCAGTGATCTCACCGCACCTCTCCTCTCACTTACAGGGTCAGCGCGTCCAGTTGCCTTCCGCCACGTCACTCAAGTCGCATTCCGCATCGCAACCGCTGCGAATTCGCGCAACCGCTGTGCCAAACAGCAGCGCGGTGGCAGCAGCGGCGGAGGTTCCGCGGGTGAAGCTAGGGAAGACGGACGTGGAGGTTCCGATCATCGGCGTGGGCGCGTGGGCGTGGGGCGACAAGTTCTTCTGGAACGACGGCGAGTGGAACGGTAAGTGCGGTGCTGTCGCAGCCAAGACATTGTGACTAGGGAGCGTGGGTGTGTGGCGACACGGTCTTCTGGAACGACGGCGAGTGGAACGGTGAGGACTTAGTTTTAGGCCGCCATGCCGTTGCCAGTGTAACATAACCCTGTCAGACGGCTCGGCAGGTGGCTGTGGAGACTTCCTATCAACGCGCAAATTGATTCGATGTGCCGCTTGCTTGCCTCAGCTGCTCTCTCGCCCCATTCTCCCAATTTTTGAGACACGGCTGTAGATAAAGTTATTGGCATCTCGTTCGATATGTCGTTCCATCTTATTTGCGTGCACCCCCACGTGACAGCTTTGCCAATTCTACCCCATTCTTCCCACCGTCAGACCGCAACGTTCGCGATGGGAAACATGAGCTCGCTTCCACTCGCCTAATACAATCACTCTTCCATTTCCATCCCACCCCGATTTTCTCCCAAGCTCAGACCGCAACGTCCGCGATGCGAAGCAGGCGTTCGACACGGCCATGGACTCTGGGCTCAACTTCATTGACACGGCCGAGGTCTACGGTACCAAACAGGTACACTCTCATTTCAAGCACGCGCCACTCTTGAGTCAAAGAGATTCACCCACTCTCAAGACATAGCACGAGGAATTTGTACCGTTAAGAGCGCGTTCCTGAGTGAAATTCACAAGAAGATTGGCGGCATCGATGCTCTCTCCGTATAAAACATCAAGTTTATAACTGTGGAAATACTTACACGGATGCCTTCTTTTGCCAATTTCTCTGCAGTTTGGAGCAGACGACTCAGAGTCATTGCTAGGCAGGTATTGCCTCTCCTCCTACTGCCTTCTCTTCCCCCCCCCCTTCCCTGTCCCTGCCCCTGTTCCCTCGCACGACGCCACGTTCTTCCTCAGGAATTCAAACTTCTCAAACGTGTTTCCGCTTTTCATCCTTTCCCCCCCCTTTCTGTTCTACCAATTTCCTTTTCCTTGCCCGCCTCGTCACTCTTTCCCTCTCCACCATCAAAGGGAGGTGTATTTGTTATATTTCTCATAATTAACCCCTTCTTCTTACACCCCTCCTCGCTTCCCCCAAAGGTTCATCAAGGAACGAACCAGCAAGAGCCAGGCAGGGGACCTGACTCCCATAGTGGCGACAAAGTTTGCCGCCCTGCCATGGCGTTTTGGGCGGGAGTCTGTGGTGGGGGCTGTGAAGGAGTCTCTGAGACGCCTGCAGCTTGACTGCGTTGACCTGTACCAGCTGCACTGGTGAGTTGACTGCGTTGACCTGTACCAGCTGCACTGGTGAGTTGACTGCGTTGACCTGTACCAGCTGCACTGGTGAGTTGACTGCGTTGACCTGTACCAGCTGCACTGGTGAGTTGACTGCGTTGACCTGTACCAACTGCACTGGTGAGTTAATCTGTACCAGCATTGCGTTCTCGAATTCGCAGCACGATCATTCCACCTAAAGAGCTATGCTTCTACATTGTTGTCTTGTCTCCCCTACCTCCCCGTCCCCTCATCTTTTTCGGCTCACCACCGTACATTCCCCATCCCCCCCTTATTTTTTTCTCGCGGCTCAGGCCTGGCGTGTGGGGCAACGAGGGGTACATTGACGGTTTGGCAGATTGCGTGGAGAAAGGGCTCGTCAAGGCAGTGGGGGTGTCCAACTACAAGCGTGAGTGCCTATCCCCACCCACTAATGAAATGCCTGGACGCATGCACCTCTAGTGTGAGGTGGTGACTGGGATCTGGGCGTGATGAAGGCAGCAAGACAGGCTCAGGCTTGGCCTGTGGGGCAACGAGGGGGACATAACATTGACGGCTTGGCAGATTGTGTGGAGCAGAGGCTGGTCAAGGCAGTGGGGGTGTCCAACTACAAGCGTGAGTGCACAATCCCGGTAATTTTGCTAATATGCTTGGACTCTCTTCTTCCACTCTCTTCGGTGGGTCAACTGCAGCAGGAACACCAGCAGCTGCTCAAGCCTGTGTCGTCCAACTTCCCTTTCACCCCACGTGCTCCCACCCAACCCCCAAAATCTCCCCCTTCCCCCTTCCTCTCCCATTCTCCCTGTCTTCTTTCAGTGGATCGACTGCAGCAGGCACACCAGCACCTGCCAAAGCCAGTGTTGTCCAACTTCCCTTTCCCACTCCCCCTTACTACCCCTTTCTTCCTGTCTGCTTCCAGTGGATCGACTGCAGCAGGCACACCAGCAGCTGCCAAAGCCAGTGTTGTCCAACTTCCCTTTCCCCCTCCCCCTTACTACCCCTTTCTTCCTGTCTGCTTCCAGTGGATCGACTGCAGCAGGCACACCAGCAGCTGGCCAAGCGAGGAGTGTCTCTTGCCTCCAACCAGGTGAGCCTTCCATCCTCGTTATAAGCCTATGTGCCATAGCATTACCAGTAAGTGTCCCATTATCACCGCTGTGCCAAGCAGGCTTGTGAGAACTGAGAAGCGTCAAGCCTCACCACCACCACAC